TATAATAGTAAGTGCATGTATATGCTTTATATGTAGATGACGAAATAGAACACCAGTTGTAATGCAATCTTTACACATTATTTTTAGTGAAAATAATAATAAAAGGAGACAGGAATGTAGGAAAGACATGTTTATTCCATAGACTGCAGGGGCAAAAGTTTATCGAAGAGTATATACCCACGGAAGAGATACAGGTGGCGAGTATACAGTGGAATTACAAAGCCACCGACGACGTGGTCAAAGTGGAGGTATGGGATGTCGTAGATCGTGGTAGACGCCGGCGGAAATTAGAGGGTCTAAAAATGGATAATACTCCGGCTAATGCAGAAAACATTATTGAGGAACCTGCCCTAGATGCCGAGTTTCTCGACGTTTACAAGGGTACCAATGGTGTTATCATTGTGATGGACATCACGAAGAACTGGACATTTGATTATGTCCAACGTGAGCTGCCGAAGATACCTAGCCACATACCTGTCATTGTCCTCGGCAACCACTGCGACATGTCACATCACAGAACCGTCACTGCGGATCACATGACGTACTTCATAGATTCACTACACGAGAGAATAGCACAAGTAATTGAAATGATTGTTAATATTATAATCATATGTCTCGTTATCAATGAATATTTCTCCAGTAGTAAATTAAATAAAGTTCAGTCATCATGTTCAGTAAGAATTGAAGTTATCATTTTTTAATTTCTAAAATTAAGAAATTAATTCTATATCTTGTTTTTCTTAATATTTTAACAAATATTATTAAAATGAATACTCTCATACTTTAATAAAAGTTTTGCTTGAAAGAATGTTGAGGTTTTCTGCATGTAATGTAAAGAATTAAAGTTTTTGAAAGAATATTCACATTTTATTTATTTTATTACTTTGTTAATAAATTTTACTAATCATTTTTTTTTTTAAATTCATTGACTTTTGTAATTTATATCGAATAATTATTCATCAACACTAACTAAAAGACTTCACTTAATTCTACAGTTAAATGAATTGTTGCAGGTGAGATACGCAGAGTCATCAATGCGAAATGGCTTCGGCCTAAAATTATTACACAAATTTTTTAATTTACCATTTCTGCAACTGCAACGCGAGACACTGTTGAAGCAACTCGAAACCAATGAAGAAGAGACGCGTTTGACCATCCAGGAACTGGACCTCTTCCAGGACAGCGATGACGCTGATTACAACAAATTCCTAGACAATCTCGTGAATCGTAGAAGAGCACTTGCCGACTCAGTGTCCGCTAGCAATCTAGTCGCAAACATTGTTCCATCGTCTATGAGTAATTATCATCTTACATCTTCCAATACAAATGCCATCGGAGAAGTTAAAAGATCGGCCTCGATGCCTGGTCCTATCGGAGGTGGAACTCCAATACCAGTGAAAAATTTAGACATGAAACCAAGGAAAGAGAGCTCGGCGAACACATTGGATAATGTAGTTAATTCCACGAAAACATCACAAATTACATCTATTTCACAAAATTCCACTATTAAAATAGAAACGGTTAAACCGACTGAATCTACCAATAACAATAGCGAGAGAAGAGATTCACTCAATCGGTCATCATCACTCATGTCCAAGATCTTTGGTCATAAGAAGGAAGATGAAACAGATGGGAAACTGCCAAATATTAAAAATGTTAATTTGAACATACCGTTGACTAGTGTTGAAGACTTTGTGCCAGATGGAATGCTGGACAAATCGTTTTTGGAAGGCTGCAGTTTGAGTCCTAATTCCCTTACCCCGGAACCGGATCCTGCACCAACTCAGGAAGAGGCAGAATCCGAGAGGTAAGCAAAAAGTTTTTTTAAAAAACTCTACTATTTCTAGAAAATATAAGTAGAACACATAAATTAGAAAATAATGTATATAATTTAAATTTTAGTTTACAAAATTACTTTTTTGTGTTCAATTTTATTTTAGTTAGAGATGTTAAATTATTATCAAGCATTTCTATCAATATTAAAAGAAACCTGCATAAATTATCATTGCTTTCTTAAAATAAAATCTTTAGTTTTCTTGTATTTATCTTTTTTATCTTTGTGCATATTAATAGTTTTTTTTATCCTAGTTTCAGTAATGTAATTCTCTATATTTTTTCAATATATTGTAAATATAATCAATACATACTGTTACTAAGAATTGTATTTTCCATTTTATAATTGCAATTATAATCAGTATTAAATATATTAAAAATATTATCACAATATAATTTTTTACAGTGACATGGAGACTGGTAATCCTCTGGTAGCCGGTTATGAGGATGACTTGTCGTCCATCGAAGAAGTAGCTTCTCCTATACAGCCAAAATTAGCAGAGAATCCGCTGTCCAAACAAAAACACAAATTTGAACCGTTATCAGGTCCAGAAATAAATATCGAGCAATCAAAACAAGTCACAAAAAGCAACTCCGTTTCTTCTATAGAACAAGAGCTGCAGATCTCCAATGAATATGAGTCAAACGAGCAACCAGACATAAACTCGGATGCTTTTGATAGCTGGTTGCGACGGGATTCCAAATGGCGACAAAGTCCTGAAGGAGGTGAAGACGTGAGTAGTACTAGTACAAGAAAGGATAGATTGGAATTGAGCGATAAAAGTCTGGACGTTAGCATGACAAGTTCTAATGTTCATCTGGAGCTGCTCGATGATACTAGTGTGCGTCACGTAAGCTCCAATGCTAGTAGTCCAGTAATGAAAGAAAAAAAGAAACATAAAGAAAAGGTAATTATCTTCAATAATGATTTATGAAAGAAGATTCTTAGTTGACCTACAGAGCGTTTTTTTTTAATTCTTCAATTGATTTTGAGTTAGAGATTTATTATTTATTTTTTTAATCGATTTTAGGGGGATGAAAAGGAGAAAAGGAAAAAGAAGAAGTCAAAAGACAAAGATAAGGATAAGGAGAAAACTGAGAAGACCGAAAAAAAGAAAAAACGCTCATCGCATCGATCCAAGGACGAGAATCGAGAGCGAGACGAGCTTGAAGAATTTTTGAACGGCTCGGTCATGAGAATTGGCGTTGATGTGGCCTACGAGGCAATTTAGCATTCATTATTTAGCATAATGTTAGGAAATATTCTCGGTAACATTTATTAAAAGCGTCACGCATCTTCCAGAAAGATTTCGCTCTCTTCGATGTAATGTATGTTACGCTTCCCCGAAAGCGGAAGAATAAGATTATTTTTTGCGAGAAAAAAATAATATGTTTCGAATCGCAGTATTAATCTGTGAATTCGTTATATACTCGTTTTCCTCAAACAGTGAGACGTCCGTTTTGGGACCGCTTTGACCCGTATTTCAGCCGGGCTCGGCATCTCAGTCTGCCACGATAAAAATTGTGATTTTACGAGGGATACGTTTCATCAACTATGCACTTATTTATATTGCATTTCTCATGTTAGATGTTTGACGATTTTTCACATACATTTGGAAAACCGTACGCGATGAGTTTGTTGCGTGAATGGATACAATAGGCGAATATTCTTTTACCCTGTACGTAATATGACGACTATGTGACATTATAACATACAGCATTATTTATTATACTTTCCATTTTTAATATTTGTGTTCACTTATAGTAAGATTTATATGTATATTTATCGTTGATATCATTTATAAATTTTCTCTTTAGCTTAAAACATATGTGCTCTGTCCTTGTTGAATATAATTCTTTTAAAGAAGTTATACTATATAAATGTTACGTTATTGTTGTATTTTTCATAACGGTGTATAGCATTATATGACCATGCAGCTTCATGTTAATAAATGTATATAAAACAAAATGTTTTATTTCTATAATGGAATTAAATAATCCGCAGTTTTGAAAGATACTTTGTGTTCTAAAAAAATGTTGCTAATTTAATTTCAACCAAAGTTTAATCTCGAAAAACATCGGAAAACTGCCTTTTTCAGTTAATAGTACAGAAAGAAACCTCTAAACGGCTAAGAATAGATGCCTATGTTTTTAAATGAAATCTGTCTATTGACACCTCTGTGTGCATAAAGAATTATATAGTCATGGATTTTTGGCGAATGACATCCACGTTTTTTTCTATAAATTTTTAAGAGGCCTTCTATCATCCTCATTACAATTGACAGTCTTCTTTCTTTTTTATCTTTCAGCAAGTTGACGCTATTTTTACATCAAAATAGCATTAAAAACATTTTGATATCAAATGACAAATAATTATAATGTCAAACTGCTAGGTTTTTTTTTAAATACAATATGTTATACACTAAAATATACGTTATAATAAAATCACATACACATTTTTTCCTGACAATTATAATATGGCAAAAACAAATTAGCTTGAAGAAGCCTTCCATCACAATGGAAGGTCTCTGTCGATTCTAATCATCTCTTTTCTTGGAACTTGTTGAAAAATAAAAAAAATGTAACTCATTATTTTACTCGTAACTACAGATATTAATATATTATATAATAATATATTTTTATAACATATATAAGATATTTCAAAATCGTTGGCGAGTTTTTCAAAGCAATCAGTTTTTGAAATATATTTCTCACGTATTTAATATCGCGTACAAATATTAATATAATTTAGTAATATATAAGAATTATTGAATACCTTGTTGGCAAATTCCAGCGATACTTCCGAGCCATTTTTCTTGAGTTAAATTAATGAGTTCTAATCGAATTTTGCTCTACTTTCTGAAGGAATTAAATTATTCGGTTTTGAAGAAAAAATCATGCGATCCGAAGTCGAAATAACAGCTGTAATCCTTCACCGTGCAATGCAATACAACGTACAATAGGCGGCCGTAGCTCCAAACTGGAGATATCGCAAATCGCAAGTCGCAAGTTTGCAATAATTAACAAAAACGCGAGCGCGCGATTTATATGGGCGCATTCAAGCTGAACAAAGCTGCTAATCTGCTCGTCGAACGAGTGAATGTGATTAGTTGGATCTATAAGTAACAACCAATCATATTCATTTGCAAGCAGATTAGCCACTTTGTCGGACTTGAACGCGCTCATAAACTTGGTGTCTCGCTGCAATTGCTTGAATTCGAACGCTCATTGGAGAATACTAGAATTTTCGGATAGAATATATAAATAAATCCTGAAAAACTTTTTTTTTCGGAAGTTAAGCGTTGTTTCTGGAAAGAGGCTTGTATTCAGAACGCGCTTTATGATATAATCGCGTATTTAGCGTTAACGCCGTTAACATATGGTTCACATTACTATCAACGAGATATTCCAATGATATGGGTGCAGCCACAATTGGTGCAGAAGAAATTAGGAATAAAGATTTTCTATCAGATCTCGGATACACCGGAATACACGATTTCTGTTAGATTGGCATCGTTATTTCTTATTCTTAATTCCTTATTTTTCTACTGTGGACTCTAACCTCTAATGTAATTTGTAGGTTGTGAATTCGTATACAATAAGACAAATTGAAGAAGAATGTAAACAAAAATATATTATATACAATATTATAAAATAAAACAATATTAAATTGTGAAATTATATAAACTAATCTTAGTTACAGTTATAAAAATTTAAAAATTATGTAAATGTAATTTGTAATATAATAATAAATTTTGTAATAGAGCTGCAAATTTCAATTTGGAAAAATAAGTAATTACTTATAAAGATGAACGTTATAATTTTAAGATGCACTTTAATTAATTATTTTTTTTTTATTCTTTACAGATGTACATTTAACGATTCTTGTTATACATTAATAGGATATATATTTATTCCATGAACAGAAATTACCAATAAAAAGCTTAATTTTTTTGTCAGGAAAAATCCTGCAAGTGATGTATTAATAACATTGGTAGTAAAAGTACAAACATTAAATAAAGATATGATTATCCAGGAAAAAGGTCATATGTATTGAGTAAATTGATGAAATTGAATTTCATATTTATAACAAGGCATTATTTCCTAAGCAAAATGCCTTACTATGCAGTAGCCAGGGGTCGAAAACCTGGAATTTACGCTACATGGTAAGGAAATTAATTCAACTAATTATCAGCAAAAAGAAATTTGAGTAAATATGCTCGTATATTTTTGTTAAACACATTAAACAGATTCGTGGCTTATTTTGAGCTTATATAAGAATCTATTTAAAAAGAAATTAAATAAGAGTTCTTCTATTTTTAACAGGGATGAATGCAGTGCCCAGGTTCTTAAATTTCCTGGATCAGTATACAAGAAATTTGCAACAGAAAGTGAGGCTCAAAACTTCATAAAGGAGCGTTCTTCTTCAACTGAAGGAACAAATTCTAAGAGCCTTATTTCATCGAAAATTGTGAAATCTGCAAGGTAAATATTAACCCTTCACTGGCAGTATGAAATTTTTGATTATAGTTTACATTCTGAGTTGTTGAAGTCCATAACAGATTTTTTTATTGATTTAAACTATATAAAAATCTAAAAAAATTTTTATATATTTTTTAAACCTTTAACATGTTTTTACCGTAATAGAAATAAAATTATATTTTATTTATTTTTTTGTAAATTTAAATGTAATGATTTTGAAAAAAACATGTTATTGATTAAAAGTGCATAACTTTTATATGAGTGAATGAAAAAAAATCTTTTTGAGTTACAATATATACTTTAGGATAGTAGTACTTAAAAAAAATATAATAATGTTGATTTCAAAACGTTAAATTATTTGAGCACCTTTATGAATAAAACAAAATCTCAAGTTCTTTGGGAAAAAAATAAAATGATAGCGAACTCCATTATTCATTTTCTTAAAATTTCCACAATCAAAAAATCGATTGTCTTAAAAGATCCTGCATTGCTGATGGAGGGTTAATAACAACTCCTGTTTAATATAAATAAGGAAGAATTATTGCGAAGCAATAAAATTTAAGTTAATGAAACTCTGAAATCTCATTACAATATATCATTTAAAGCTAATATTTTATGTAGATCTCAAACCTTGCCGAAACAGTTGTTTACACTTGGTGGTAAACAGTCTGCAATAGTTCAGACAAAACCATTATCATCAATTTCAAAGAGGACTTTATCTACAAGTGACGATAGTAATGAACACCCGAACAAAAAGAGAAAAATAATTGATATTTCAAACAATTTAGCTCAGTGTCTTAACCAGGTTTGAAATTAATAGTGTATATCAATAAAATCTCTCAAAAACTAAACTGATCAACTCTATTATTTATTTTTTAATTTTTTAATTTTAATATCAAAGCGCATAATTTATAATTTCATCAATTTTTCATAGTTGAATAGTTGATGTAGTTAATCAGTATGGTCTGAGAATTTCATATGTTTAAAAATAAATAAAATAAATTATACTGCAAAAATGTATTTCATAAATTTGGATTATATAGGATGACAAAGCGGATTTTATCGTGGATGAAGATGGCTATGTGAACGTTTTTACGGATGGTGCATGCAGTTCGAATGGATATAAGAATGCACGAGCCGGTATCGGTGTTTGGTTTCGAGACAATCATCCTTTGTATATTTTATTTTTCAGTCTTGTCCATTGTCTACTAAAACTCAATGAATCTGCGCGTAATATAGGTATAATTTTCGTAGAAATATATCTGAACCGGTAAACGGACGACCTACTAACAACATGGCAGAAATCCAAGCTGTTACAGTAGCTGTGAGACAGGCGAAAAAGGCAGGAATCAAGAAGTTGAAAATCAACACCGATTCTAAATTTCTCATCTCCTGCATTACGCAATGGATGCCAGCGTGGAAGAGAAGAGAATGGAAAACTGTGGATAACAAACCAGTTATAAATAAAACAGAATTATTGGAAATGGAGAAAGAATTAGAGAACTTGACGGTTGCTTGGGTAAGCAATTTTTTATTTAATAGTTTTATATATATATATATCTATTGTGAAAGATATTCAATCTTCTAGAATCATGTGAATGGACATGCAGGAATTCATGGTAATGAAATGGCAGACAAACTAGCAAGAGAAGGCTGTCTGCGATATAAAAACTAGTTGGATAAAAGATGAAATTAAAAATACTTCTTATTATATCTTAGATTATTTGTTTTATTTTTGCATACATAAACTTTTCTATAGAAAACATTATGTAGTATTTATTGTACATGAAATCTAATAATTCACTTTTGTTATACAATAAATCTAATCTATAATTCACTCTTTCTTTTTTTAATGAGTTTTATTATTGTAAAAATAATGCGATCAGACACAAAATATGATTAAAATTGTAGAATATATTGTTACACTTTTGCGCATATAAACAGAAATTGCTATCACAAAAATGGTTACAATATATATACTAAATTGTACTTACTGACAAAAATGGCTAATTCTCGTCGAATAAAAGAGATACGAGAATGGTTAGATTAAATTATATCTTCCATATTATAGATTACTTCTAGAAAAATACATTGCTATTTTCTATCTACATAAATACATTCTTTATTGTGATGTAATTATTAAAGCTATCAATTACCAAATCAGTAAACTAACATACAAGATTATTGTTTCATGGATGAGACAGAAGCTTGCGCATTCTCGTTTGTTATCTGTCGGTTCAGCGATTTCGACGATCTCGTCGATATTTGTTTAAGAAGAGTGTAAATATCCTCCGGAGATACTTGTAACGCCAATAATTCCAATACAATTCTATAAACAGAGAAAATTGTATTGTGATAAAACCGTGTGGAGAGGTTATGTCAGTGGGCGAAATTCCACTTTCGATAACTCTCGACAAATGTCTCACCGAAAAACTCCGGGTACCGTAGAGATGCCCGTTATTTCGGCTAGTTCAATCAGTTCTTGTTGATGCGATTGCGAAAATGCCATTTTCTGCGAAAATCATCGACCGCACGGATTCATAGACTTTTAGATTTACCGCGCGAAGTTATTCGTAGGCAAGCTCGAGATTTTAGGTAATTCAGATCTGACAATCGTCGCATTGTAGTTTTTTTTTTGTCAAAGCCAGTGAATCACAGCAATCTCAACCAATCAGACTAGTCATCGGATTAGTGGATTTACTTGATATTGGGTCATCTAAAAAGTATCCGCGGTACTTTATCATTAGATATATGACCATCAACACACATCTAGTGACAAAAAAACTGCGGATACTTTTTAGATGACCCATATTTACAATATTTGATTAGATTTAGTGGAAAAATTCCAAGCACCAATCAGAAAATGTGTAATAAATTAGCCAATTAGCGACGTGGGATTAGCTCCACCCCAAATTTTCTATTTCCCGTTCTCTGCCAATGAAATTTCTCGAATAGTCACGTGATACATCTTCAAGAGGGATCATGGGATTCAAATTTTCTGTACGTAGTGTTCTATATACACTGCTCGCTAATGAAAAAAGACAAAGGTTAATAACGTCATTTTCATAACATTTTCGACATTTTCGTACGACTTTCTTTGCTGAATGAACGTTGTTGAGTAATATAGGGCTAAAAGTTTTAAAATTATTACGCTAATTGCTGACATCGCAAATAATCAAGTAAGTTTTGATGAATATAACATTTTTGTTTGTGAAAGGATGGTAGATCTCGGATAATGATCTTCAGGTTTATCGAACTTGCGAGGACCTGTTGCTTCATTGCGTCATTTCTTTGTTATTTCATCCATTGTATATATCTCTTATAATTGGAACGTACGAATAGAAAATGTAAAAAATATTATGGAAGTATTGATCAATATTAATTATAAAGTTATTAATTAACGCAATCATGGTGTTGAGGATAGAAATGGATATTTTGTTGAATGCGTACATGGCTTGTTTTTTTTTAGCTGAACTTTTGCAGTTCATCTGTTTTTCTTTTCTTTTCAAGAGCAAAGAAGAGAAAGAAAGATGAACTGGTGCAAAAGTTCAGCCAAAAAGAACAGGGCCACGTATTTATTGAAAAAATAATAATTAAAGAGATATAATAATAATTTAATAATACATTTAATTAATAATTGAAGAGCTATTATGACAATATCCTGAGAATTGCAATCGAAACTTATATAAATATTGAGAATGTGTATGCTTTTTTGTGATTATGTTCCTTCTGATGTTTTTGATATTGCCACATTTTTAAAACTAGTTTTTTCTTACGTATTTGATAATGCCACATCTTTAAAACTGTAATTATAGATATAATAAAGAGAAAGTAAAAAAATTTTTTTTAATGCAAGGTTTGCCCTTTTCTGATTATACTCTTTAAAATTTATTTATATTTGTAAGATAAAGAAAAAAAGCAAAAAACAATTACATGATCTGTTTGCATTATTTGAAATTTCCCAAAATTTTTAAACTTAAAATATGGTAGGTAGAATAAATTATTCAAGGAGCATAAAAGCCAACACAAGATTAGTGCAATAGTATTTATTCCTTCATATATAACAATAATATAATGATAAATGTTTTGACCTTAGATTAGGTCTTCTTCAGTATCAGAACAAAAATTCTAATATATCTATCTTTAGTCTTACATTATTTAATATCACATAAATTTTATATATATTTGTACGATCTTGTAGTTTTAATCAATTTCGTCCTATAAGACTACACCTATCTTGTATTATCAATCCAGATTTCTCCATAAAACGATCGAATTTGAGATATATATTTGGACGTTGAAAAAGAAAGCAAAGATGCAGAGTACAAAAAGTGTAAGCAACACAAACAGATCTATAATTGTATTTTCCTTTTTTTGATATTTTCTTTCTTTTGTGAGTATGATTTGTTGATGTGATAATAAAAGTAATAATAATAAAATATGAGTGCTTTCTATTTGATAACATAAGTCGACACAAGTATCATTCTATTTTCTTTATATTTAATAAGTAATAAAGATAGAACGACACTTGTATTACCAAATGAAAAGACTTTATATATAAAAACTAGCAATATGCAAAAAATTAAAGTCTGAAATATCTGAATTTTTTTTCTTGTCAGAATGCCTTATTACGCAGTGGCTAGTGGTCGTTCGACTGGAGTTTATGATAATTGGTAAGAAAATTAATAAAATAATTGAAAATTATGCTTTTTGCAATCAGAATCTAAATTAATATTTTATGTTAGGGAGGATTGCAAAGACCAGGTTCATGGATATTCCCATAACAAATTTAAGAAGTTTGATACACCAGATCAAGCTTGGGATTTTGTTGACCAACATTCTTCAAATGCTGGACAGTCATTTAATACTAACAATAAAGCTATAGTTTGTCGAGATAACAATCAAGTTGCACTAAGAAATTACCGTGGTGAAGTTAACGGCTATCAACGTACTGATTACACGGTATGAAATGGAAAATATTTTGAAAAATGCTAAGGGCACATGTACTTTAACACTGAACAAAAGTTTTAGTAATTATGTATTAATAATTAAAAGGTTCAATGTGATAACATTATTTTTCACTTTGTCTCAATTCTAGAACGTTTTCTAAATTTTAAGTTTTAATACTATATTAACTGTTTTTATTTTTCAATTTCCTTTGATGATGACTATACTTTCTTTGATTAATAATGACTCGATTTGCAGGAAGGAAAAAACACTGTCATTGTACGCGAACGTCTTTACAGGAGTGGCAGGGATGGAAATGGATATTTTGTCGAAAAAGGCACACGTACTTATTGGAAAGATAATAATTAAAGAGATGTCATTATGAGAATAACCAGAGAATCTCACTTTTTCTTCTGAAAAATTTATATTATCATATATAGTTTATATTATGGATAAAACTTACTTATTTTGTTAAAAATTTAAATCAGTTATGGAATGTATTATTTTAATTTTGTTATTGATAACTCGTGCATTTTCTTTACAAATAAGTTTATAACTCGTGCATTTTCTTTACAAATAAGTTGATAACTCGTGCATTTTCTTTACAAATAAGTTAATAACTCATGCATTTTCTTTACAAATATTCCACGAGGTTAATAAATAAATACCACCTGTATACAACTACTTATTTTATAATCCTTAATTATAATTTCTAATTTCATTAAAATGACAATTTTTTTCTATTACAAGAGTTTGTGAACATATTATCGAATTCTTGCCTGGAAAATTGGAATTATCGCCTTTTTACTTATCCTTAGATTACTCTGGGATCAAATTCATATTTTAATTCTTTGTGTTTATCAATAACATATTTTTCTTTAGTCTAAACGCCTAATGCCATACACGAAGTAGCTACGGAACAAGAGAGGGAATCGAATTCATTTTTGTTTAGGTGATCATTTTAGCATTGAATTTTTCCAGCATTTTTGTATAAAAGCTAAAAATAAAATTTAATTTCTATTTTTACATTATATTTTATAAACAGGTTATTATATATTGGGTCATCTAAAAAGTATCCGCGGTTTTTGTCACTAGATGGTGTTGATGGTCAACACCATCTAGTGACAAAAAACCGCGGATTTTATGAAATATAATTATTACATAAAAAATTTTATTTTATTCTATTTATTAAAAACTATTATTGAATTTTTTTATTAAATATGTTTTCTAGATACTTGAAATAGTAGAAAATTCATTCTTTCTTGTGAGAAAAATAATTACATTTGAAAAATGCGCCTTAAGAATAAAATGCAATATAGGGAAATTTCAGAACTTCGTCTTTTTGTCATGTGCTATAATAGAATGTTTAGGAGCTTCGCATAATAAAAGGAACAGAACAAAAAATAAAAATTTCAATTTATCAGAAATCATGTATTGTGGAATATACAATTTCTGATAGGTTGAAATTCTTATTCTCGGTTCTCTATTTGTTGTTCCTTTTATTGTGCGGAGCCTATTAGTATGTTACTAAATCCCTAGACACTGCGAAAGGATAACAATAGAAATAATTCGATTTCAACTCATCAGAAACTGTATATTCCAATGTATCTGATTTCTGATGGGTTGAAAAATCATGTTATTTCTTTTGGATTGTTCTGGCTGCATTGAGTGCGTTCAGCGGACTCAACAGTTGAGTGAGCGTTCACTGTTATTGGTGTATTCTTTTAGCTCATCCAATCAGAATTTTAGATCTAGAAGAATACATCAATAACAGCGAGCGGTCACTAAATTTGAATCTGTTGAATGTGCCATTGTGTCTGGAGTTTAACGATTGCATGCGGATCGAGTATAACCTATATAGATTTTTGTTTACTGTATCTGACTGTAT